GCCTCATCTATAGCCAATTGCTGGATAGTTCGGAGAGCCAGATATGGAGAGCAATTCACTCCAAATGTGACTGTAGAAAGACGATAATCACGGATAACCTCATCAGGCGACTTCCGCCATAAAATGCGCTGAAAATCCCTATCTTCCTTTCGAACTAAAATATTCCTAAACATTTGTTTGATGTCAGCAGTGAAGGCCACTGAATGAATACGAAATTTTAAAATAACATTAACTATATCTAAATGAAGTTTAGGACCTGTCAACAAAATGTCATTCAATGAGTAGCCACTAGAAGTTTTACACCCGGCGTCGTAAACTACTCGAGTGCGAGTGGTCTCACTGGATTCTTTGACCACGCAATGATGCGGAATATAATAAGTGGCCCCTGATGTCGGCTCGCCCTTAACGGGCTCCATGTGCTTCATATCCAGATACTCTTGGAGACAGGCATGATAGTCTTCCTTAAGCTTCGGGTTTCGCTCGAGACGAAACTCTAACTTACGAAAGCGCGCAAGTGCAGTTTGACGGGATTCGCCTAGAGGGGGAGCCTCCGGCTTAAAAGGCAAAGCGACCACGTATCGCCCCGTTGCGTCACGTATATGCGTCTTTTGAAAAAAGGATTCGCATATTTCTTCATCAGGAGTGTAACTCCGTTTTTCAGGAAGTGACTCTAATTCCCAAAATCTCTGAAGGTTGTCATTGTCAAATGAACTAAAACAAACTTGAAGTTGAGACGGAGAGGAAACAATATCTAGTTTACCTAACAATAAATAACCGAATATACTATTTACTGCTATCGGTGAACCTGGTAAGCCCGTAATGACGTCACTCAAAAGCACATGGGATAGTATATCCGCTCCTAATAACAGGTCCACTGGCTGTGGCGTATGAAAAGCGGGATCCGCTAAATTTAAATCTTTTATATGAGGCCAACCAGTGTACGGTAACTGCATACTCGGCATTTGTGAAATTAATTTGTTTAAAATTAAAAGATTTACCGGAACTAAGGGTTCTAATCTACCCTTAGGCGCGATATTACAATTTATAAATCCTTTGCTACGCGCCGCTTCACTATTGCCTATACCGAACACAGAAACATTAACATGCCCGCGCATCAAACCCAGACGCTGCGCACACGCCTCAGTGATAAAACTCGCCTGACTTCCAGTGTCTATAATGCAGCGAACGGTCGCTATTTTCACCGCACCTATGCATACGTCGACGAGTGCCGTAGACAATAGCACCGTAGTCGTACGAGCGAACGCGGCATTGGACGCGCAACAATTATGAATCACGTTCTCACCGGCGGGAGCAACGCACTGCGGATCATTCGTGGTAGCGGTTACAGGCATCTCAGCTACCACTGAAGGTGGGAGCGAGACTGCATTATTTGCAGATATTTTATTATCAGTAATCGGTAACGATTTACTTGAAAAGTGAATTAATGTGTGATGTCGCTTATGACATGTACGACAGACAAAACTAGAATTGCATTGATTCACATCATGCCCAAAATGCAAACAATTATAACAAATATTTTTCTTACGAACTAAAGCAAATCTATCTTGAGGGGATAAGTTTAAAAATTGCGAACACTTTGTCAACGTATGTTGAGCATTACAACATAAGCAATTTCTATTCTTATGATTCTGTTCATAAGACCGATTATCATTCGACGGTTTTGAAACTGGTGTGACATTAGCAGCAAACGAACGAAGTTGCCGTTGCTGCAACTGGTTTTCTACGCGATTATTGTGACGGTGGCGCATATTCACATTAGCCACACTAGATAATTTATTGTACTGTCCGCTGTTAGTCGAACAGATAATTTCCTCAGCTGATATTTCGCGTTCTAAGAAACAAATCAATGTGCTAACGTTTGGAATGTCGGACGAATTAGTTAAAGAACGTTCATAAGATTTACGAGTGTTAATAGGTATTTTTCGTAACAAAATGCTAAGTAACAAAAAACTCCATTCGCTTACGGGAAAGTGCATAATCTCCAGTGCTTTAATGTTTTCTTGGTAGACATTTAATAAATTACGTATACTTTGAGACGATCTATCGGAACACTGTTCGATGTCGAGAATTCTGTCAAGGTGTTTTGAGGCAATAACTCTTTTATTCTCATAACGAGATATCAAAATATTTAAAGCTACCGAATAGTTCTCGTCTGTAATAGGGATAGATTTAATTAAATTGTGGGGTTCGTTGTGTACCGTAAGTAATAAGTAACGGAATTTTTCCGCCTCTGTGTAGGCACTGTTTAAATGGACTAATGATCGAAACAAATCGAAATAGGAAGGCCAATCCGTAGGATCGCCGCTGAAATTAGGCAAAGGCAAAGTTGGTAAATTCTTATTATAATTAGATGACTGAACTAAAGGCGTTATTAACGGACGACTCATACGTCGTTGCTCTTCATCCACCCTCTTTAAATTATTTAAATTAGTGATAATAGCGTAGTACAAATCATTGAAATCGTTGCGTATCTTAATCTGTTCCTCTTTGTTAAAAGACCTTAACTTGATTAACGTTTTTTCAATTTTAGTTTGAACTTTATTGAATTTACGTTGGTGAGAATTTAAATCAGTAGTTCGCGAGCGAAACTGTTGGACATCTGTCGCTGCGAACTGTAATGTTCGTTTTAACTCATCGAGAATAAGATCTCGTTCGAATAAATCTTGTTCACACGGCGATTCATCATCAGACATTTTGCGTAACAAAGATGACTGCTTCGAATTCGCTGCGTCACTATCCATGATAATAAGTACGTAATACTGTTTAGAGACAACACAACTGAAAGATAGCAATCCGGTTCGAACGGATCAAAAGAAATTATGTACGATATTAAGCAGGGGTTGGCGACTCACCGCAAGCGATCCTTTACCGCCACGGGTTCCGAGGGCTGGGTTCTGGAACGGGGTGCGTCGACGCGGTTACCAGCGAATATATCATACACGATATATAGTCCATAGGCACTGATCCACCGTTCTTCCGAAATGTCCTTATTCTCGATAACGAACAATTCACCAAGCTCAATCAAAATTAGGTGCGCGCAGTTAACAATTTGAAATCACAGTAGTAAACCGTCACCCAAGGATTAAGGGTGGGGATTTGGAACGAAGACAGCTAATCGCCTTGCCCATAGACAATAAAAATTTTACCCACAGTTGTGTTGTCTTTGTATAGCCAATTATCAATGATCTGTTTCGTTACTTCATAGCATATCGTATAAAGTTTAAAAAGCCAAAAACTCAGCGTATGCATAAAAATGTGTGGTAAAGTAACAAAAGATGTATATTTACAACAGGGATTACGAGATAGTTCCTGTGTGTAATTTGCACAATCTACGTAACATAATATTTATTCCGCAATATGTTCGCTTAAGATCGCACGGCTGGTAATAGACTATCGTATTTCGATCGATGCTTCTGAAGTCCCATATGACCTAGATGTCTAGTTTGCTATAGTAAAATTATGTACTGAATATAAAAAAATCTTAGCATATAGTAAAGTGCATAAGCGTACGTTTGTGCTTTAACCAAATATGATTTTAATTATTAGTAATATAACAACAAATAGCTATTTTGCCATAGACTAATAAAACTGGTCGTAATGTGATCATGTCATTATTTCTTAGAAGGCGATATATTGTAGTAAGGTAAGGTACCATAACTAAGATTGATCTCTCCCTATAAAGCGCAGTCTTCTTCGCGTTACCCATTTTTGCATTGTCATTTTTTAAGTTTTTTTTCTAACTGTGGCAAGCAAAGCGTTTGAGCTGTCATCGGTTTCAGTTTACCAATATTTTGCTTGAAAATTTTATTATACCTATGATAAAGTGTTTCGTTGAGAAGAGAGACTATTAGTTAATAGGTACATACTATTACGTTGATAAAATAAGTAATTTTTTTATTAAAAATTTCATGAAACATCTCAACAAAGATAAGGTACAAATAAGCTGTCATTAAAAATGAGAGCGCTACATCATTAATAAAAAAGTGAATCTTATTTTTTTTAGCTATTTTTTCTCAATAGCTAAAAGAATTAGTTACCTACTTCTAAAATTCACATTTTATTACTTCTCGTAATTACACTCTTTTGTAATATGAAAATTATATAACCCAGTTATATCATTTTTAATAAAAAAAAATATCTATTTCGATCAAGACAGTCATTGGGCGCCGTAAATCTTAAGGGTCATGTTGGTTTATATAGGATTACAGATAAATATGTTTATTGTTATACATATAGTGGCGCTTATACCCACTTTAATGTACGGTTTGTTTCGTATTCATCCTTTGACGTCTCATCAACTGGCATTAAATGAGACTGCCCCCAGGACCGGATGCCCGCGGCGGACCGCCCCCTCTTAGTCCGCCACTGGCGCAGAGCGCTTTAATATTATTACTAATTATTAGTAACCTAAATAAATACTACTAATGAAAAGTTTAATTTTTTAACTCGGATAAAAAAGATAATTATTTTGTTCAGACTGTACACAGAAATCTTACTTTTTTAGGTGATTTAAAAATGAATAGATGTAAAAAAGAATTATGCGTAGGATGAGACGTTATAGGATGAATACGGAACAACCCGGATGTACTTTTGCAACCCATGTAATTTTGTCATAACATTTTGTGGTCCATTTGAGGTCAGATAGATCGAAGTTTAAATTTACTGACCTGTATACATTGTAATAAACCATTACATGAAATGTTTTAGGAAGCGTTTTCTGCTTGGTTTGAAACATACCTATCTACCTATTAATAACTACTTTCCCTATAAACTTATTTCTAAAAACTTTAAAAGAAATAAGTTTAATAACTTTAAGCTTATTTCTTTCATTACTTTCATTGTAAGTTTTAAGTCACATTATTAAGTAACAATATCATAGAACAAAAACGAACAAATTAGTGTAAAGTTCAGAAAATAATAAAAACCAAACAAACATTAAAAATCTATTAGGCAATTGTCTACCTAGTGATTATTTTCGGCTAAGAAAACTTATCAACTATATTTTTAATTGATGTATAACATCCTGTAACTAAAACTAGTACATAAAATAACAACAAAAACCCGTTCTTCCACAACATGTATTTATACTTCCCTAATCCTCTCTCCCATCGATGCACAGTTTGTACTACCACTGGGATCAGAAGCCCAAGGGTTGAAAAGAAAATGGCTCCTACTAGGCTTATAAGAAGTCCTAAATCGGGCACAGCTGCGGCGAGAAGCACTGAAAAAGAAAAAAGTTTAAATGAACTTAGTTTTAACAAATCAACAACACCAGACTATAGATGTTCCCAGAGCTGAGGCTCAAGCTTTCCCTCTGAGTGGAATTGAATCAAATCGAACAGGTGGTCCATTCTCCCTAATCGATTCAATGAGGAAGTAGATATTTAAAAAAAACGAAAGCACTAAAAAGCATCTCCACTAGATGACGACTCTAGCAAAAGTTATTTTTTTGCAGGAAACGAATGGACCAAAGACAGTAATTTCCGTTCCTTTTAAATAACATATCAAAAAATTGAAATTTGAAAAGTTCGACACTTAGATATCAATACAAATACGAAAAAGTACAAATAGAATATAAGATGTTTATTTAATTTTGAAATCTAATTTACATTTAAACATGAAAGAAAACCGGAAGAGTTGTTGAGGAGAAATCAAGAACGTACCGTACGACATCTAGTTTGATCTCGAGAACTAATTTATTTTTAAATATTTCCACATTACATTTATAGGGAAGGCCTGAGCTGAGCAGTGGGGTCAATGATTTCGGAAAATATTGAAAATATCTTCAAAATAATTTTATTTCAAAAATTTCACTGCAAACATTTCATGTTCATGACGATGTCCAATATTTAGGCATTTATGTATGAGTACATAAATTACCGTATTGAAGAACAAATATTTTATGCTACCGGAGATTAATTTTAAGAAGAAAAAATATTAGTTTTATTTGTCTCTTTTAAATCAGTGATTTTGAAAAACAAATGAAGTAATAGTTTAATCGTTCCATTTGTACAATACAATATTTGTTATTTTGAAAAACAAATGAAGTTATAGCTTAAACGTTCCATTTGTATATATAATACCATTAATAGACCAAAAGTAGTGGTGTCAGTCGGACGTAGTACGTTCAATCATGCACGTATGATTTTACCATTTAAATAACATACAATGTTTGAAAATCCTTTCATAAACTTTAATTGGCATTCATCAATGTAAAGACAGAAAAGTTGTATGAAAACTAAAAACTTTAAAACTTTCCACAAATGTCCAGGAGCCCGATTTTACATAATATTGCCATTAATATTGTTACATAGTAAATCACAATTTTTCATTGAACGTAATATTAATTACTATTACAGTGTGTTAGTTTAATGGATCAATATAAAGATATTAAAAATATATGTATATAGCTTATTGAAGGTGGTTCTCATTGGCTGTAATACTGTCCTTTATACGTCGAGGCCAGTTATATTTAGCACGCACTCTTTCCAAGGGAAAATTCATGGATTGTTTTAGGGACTCCAAATTATCATAACCTTTAGAGTAAGCCTTACTCTATAAAACTGACCATAAATCATAATCCAGCGGATTTATGATTTGGAGTTATACGCGAAATGGTTTTAGGTGATATCTTTATCTCCCGAGATAAACCTTTTGCTTTCGGAGAGGATTTCTTCGGGTTTTTTCCCTTACTGCCTTTTTCGCACGAATACAACGTGGATAGCTTTTTCTGTTACAAACAGAGGAAGTTTCATTGTACCTATCAATAGCCCGACGCGTAAACATTGGACTAATACCAAGCGTATGGAGGGTTTTGAAAATTGTGCTGGCTCTATATCTACTTTATGTAATACAATCACAGCGATGCAGTTCTCCTTATCACACACTCCATTTTAATATCACAAAAAATATTTTATGATGTATTGGCGCGAAAATAAGAAAAGACAATGAACAATCTTAAATATTCATTTTAATTCTAACACTAAGTATTTATCTCAAATCATTTTTTTATATATATATTTGTTTGATACAAGAATTCGCTGTTTTTCATTTTGTTTGCTCGAGTAGAAGCTGATATACCTATTATAGGCTAGCCGTGCCCGCGACTTCATCTGCGTGGGAAAGTAAATTAAGTGAATTCTTTCTTTCCTTTGGATGGAATCGGATCGAATAGGTTCCATGGTCCATAAACCACTATGCGAGCCCAATAAGTATTGGTAGGTGTTAACGGCTACTGATGGAGCCGGGACCGACACGGTTTAACTTGCATTCTGAACCACGGAGGAGCTCAAGATACTAATAAAGTTTAAATCCAATGCTAGGTTGCCTGGAAGAAATCGCTGACTAGCGATAAGTTTATCTTTTGTACGTAGTTATGTAAAATATTTATGTTTGTTTATGTCATTTTCTTATTGAGCAAAAAAGAGTATAACTTACTTTACCGCATCGTGAACCAAATGTGCTAACCCACTACAACATTGGACCTCTTATAATCTGTATTATAATATAAATACATAAATAAACTATAAAAAGGAAAAAGTTAACAGCTAGTCCATTATTAGTATGCCAATTTATTTGCGATACACCTGTGGGGTACAGGCAGGATGAAGGCAACACCGGTTGATAATCAAAACTACTTTCTCGTTCTCTATGGTGCAAAGTCAGACTCTTACCATACTGCATGTCTCTTCAGCAGATTTCTTAGATCAAATGCTTGGTGTATGAGTTCTCTGAGAGCTCAAGATATTTTACCTGACAGTGAATTTTACTTTATTTAAGCTACCGCGCGTGCGTACTGATGTTTGTGATTTACTTTGTGGTATTTATTTACTCTCTGAGAAATATGGTTACATTTCGAAATTATAATTATCAGTTTAATTAAGCTAATATAAAAGGGACTAGTGAAATAATAGAATTAAATGTCGTTTCTCTTTCAGGTAAGATAATAATGTTAGTTTCTCAATAAACAATTCTGTTTCAGAGCAACGCAATTAAGTTTTATTTCCAAGAAATCCTATAAATTAAACACATTATATTAGTATGTGTACATTTAAAACATTAATATAATCTGTACACACAAAAGTACAAATTTATTGGAAAACATTAATATAAGCGTCCGAACGCGTAACTTTAACGCTCGGAGAGTCTATTCTCTTTCAGATCTATTCTATTCTGCAAACGCAGGCTGTCTCAAGGATCTAACTAAATAAAGTCAGCGGTTGTCGGCAACTATTTGTACAGTGACCCCACTGTATAAACTTTACTAGCAATATAGTTTTGAGACCTTACTAATTACACAAATAGCAGTTTCAGATGCATTACGTTCATGTTTGGATAGGTTGGGTTGATTGAAGGGACCGTTACCGACTCAAATGAGTCGTCATCGCGAGTTTATCAATGTTCTCGCTGTAATACACGTGTTGTTTCTATAGATTGAAACATAACAATGAATAACGAGCTAAAATGCAGCATTCTCGTTATATTCGACTCATAGCTTGATCTGCTTTCCAAAGTACCGAGGATGAGTTCTTCATAAAAGCTGTTTTTCTCGGAATTCTACATACATATTTATGTATAGACACCATTAATGTACACTTAAGGTTTTTTTACTAGGAATCTGTCGACGCAGACTTGAAATAAATTACTTTTACTTTTGAGCTTCTTTGTAATGTCACGTCTATAAACACGCACATGAGCCTAGTTGCTCTAGAGAACTTTTTCACAACCTTCTCGCTACTGTACTCAAAAGGCCGACTGAAATTATCAGTGATTTTAATTGATATCACTTCACTTACCTGTTATTGTAACACTGATGGTTCGCAAAAATATCTGTCCAATATTATGGAACTTTCGAGGCACTCTGTCTTGCAGTCGTGTCCATATTATGTCCATCGGAGCGTACATCTGCAGGCAGTACGTGAAGAAAACGGCGACTGCTACCAAGACCTTAGCTGATAACGCTATACTGAAACATGTGCCATTAGGATATAGTTTGTTAAACATTCTTATTAATAAACAAGACAACACTGCGTATATTACTGCAATTCTAAACTAAGTACCTTAAAGCTATTGTATTATGGAAATCTGAAAGAAATTAGTTAACTAGAATACCAAGACTAGAACAAAGAAAATAAAAGTTTTTTTTTTTTTTTTTAGTTTGTTGTCATGCATAATTACAGAAGTTGTGCATTTTGTGGACATAAGTATGACTTCAAATTTGAATTTAGCGCCAAGTGATAAAGTCTATAAATTCGCGTAAACTAACCTAGCGGAGGAAGTTGTGCAATCTAGTAAAGAAATGAAAATGTAGCTTTTGCACAGAATGCCACTGTCAGGACTTAGTTGGAAAATATTAAAGAAACTTCACGAGTTAAAATTTTAATGAAACATTTTAGACACCAAACTTTTTGATAAAATGTCTGAAGCGGCGAGATATGGTAGCCTTTTTGTAGGGTTAAAGTTACTGCCGAAATTATACAGAAGATATTTGGCACGTTAATTGTTCCTTGACGAATATTAAATATGTTTGGTATACCCACAAAAGGAGATCTAATTATGTTTAAATATTACATTTTACACAGCTGATTTTATTATTTAAAACTATTATATCTTCTCGTAAATATTCTTAATGATCATAACCTTAACAAACATGCTATGGGCTAGTGCTTTTCATATTAAAATAATGCACGTTTTTGGTATAATGAATTAATTGTACGTAAGTAGGTATTTATTATAAAAAATATAATACAGTATTTTTTTATAATAAATACCCGATGAATTGTCTCACTTATACGGGGAATTCAGCTACATAGTCCCAATTATGTAGGTAAATATCAAAAAAATCTAGAAAACGAATCCAATTTAACCACGTTTTAAAAATCCCATTAACAAAGGTGCCGGGTTACAGTCCTCAACAGACGTTTCTCATTTTTCCAGGTTTCACTGTATAATAGTTAGAACAAATTTTTATCTCGATCGAAAGTTTAAAATATTTCGTCCGCCTGTTTGAGTGGATAGCCTGAACACTGATGAAAAATAAGCATAGCAAGTGCTTGAAAAATTCGTCAGTCGTGTTGGGTCCTGGGGATCAGTGGTTAGAGCAGTCGCCCGCATTGCGAAAGGTCATGGTTTAGTATCCCATCTCAGGGTACCTAGGTCTGGTGGATTTTTGAAATATTTTTCATTAAAAATATTTTTCAGTATATCATTGTGAATGTTACATTGATCAAATGTAATATATTCTATATTATTTAACATTAAAGAGAATTTAGTACTCTAAGCTGTTGATTTACTGCTTAAATAAACAGGAAATCTACCCGGCAATAAAGGGTAATAATCTTGACCCGATTCTCGAGATTGGAAAAGCTATTTACACATCTAAAAAGGTTATATGAAACCCTCGAAGTCAGATTCTCACTAGGCTCTTTTGTATTCTTTAAATGCCTTAGTAACAGTAAGTAGGTTAGAATTATTTATTAAAAGGCACGATTAAAGTAGTGTTATTCGTTTTTACGTTCGTACATGGGCTTTGATGTTAGTACTTTTACGACATTACAGAACGGCTGTACAATTAGGTTTATTGTGCTATTTTATCCGACATCCCGTCAGGTCATTATATAAATTAAACGTTTTAATATTATGGGACCATCGTTAAGAGAGCGGTTGAATCAAACTTTACTTGTTAAGTCATAAATACACGATGTGCATTTGTTTGGTTTGTATCACATTCACGCATTTTTATTCTGTTACATAGTTTAATTTCGAATGTTCTACGAATAGTAGATACTTCTTTTATACTCTGTCACAAGTGTTGCCAAGTCACAGTTAATAATCTTCAATAGAACGCCAAAAAACCAAATGTACTTAAAAAATCACTATACCTAATGTAAAACTAGAACTAACACAAATAAAACTACACAATGACAGTCTAGAGTTAACAGATCCTACGAATTTTTGGGCACAAAACTGCAATGGAACCCACACATTTCAATATTAACTGGTAAACTCAGATAAATTGCCGATGTAGAAATCGCCAGGATGGTGTACTTCAGTTATTTTCACAGCATCATGTCATTTGGTCTTATATTGTGGGGAACAGCTGATATTGAGACTATATTTATTTTACAAAAAAATAGCAGTAAAGGTTGTCTACCAATTTGCGCACGAACGTCTCATTGAGAAAAATTTAAAGAAATATGGATGACGACTATTCTTTTTTATTTGTCCGTCAGGTAGATTGTTGAAAAATGTTAAACAGGTAATTTTTTTTTTGAAAATAAGTATTTAAAAGATATGTGTAGAATTTTAAATATGACTTTATCACTTTTTTCAATGTTAATTTATTGCTTTTGATATTATACCTCAGAACTTGCAACTCTTGTTAGAAAAAGAAATTCAAAAATTGGTCCACGATTCGCGTAGCGCTACATAAATACAATTGAAGTATTTAAAAAATATGTGTAAAATTTTAAATATGACTTTATCACTTTTTTCTTTGTTAATTTATTGCTTTTGATATTATACCTCAGAACTTACAGGCTCTTGTTAGAAAAAGAAATTCAAAAATTGGTCCACGATTCGCGTAGCGCTACATAAATACAATTGAATATAGAACTTTGAATTTTAGATTTAAAACTCCGTTTGAAAAAAAATAACTCAAGTAAGCAATATATTTTAAATCGAATCATATATTAATACTTTGTTGATGTTACCGTTAACCACTTTCCGGTAAGCTAACATTTATTGTTACCAGTGGGTATATGTTATCTCGAGTTTCGAAGTAAGTACAATAGCTATAGGTACTGTAATATATATTCTATTTCATCTCTTTGAATCTACCCGGTGACGCTGGTAGGACTCTGTAAATTGACTTAGAATGGATCAGTGAGGCTTGATTCGATAAACATACCTTATCGAATTTGCATTCAAACTATCTATTAATAGTTTTTCGATTGATTAGTTTATTCTGGTTACCTTATGTCATATACCTTAAAAAGTCCAAATTACTAGTGTTTTTATTTATTTAAAAAATTCTTTGTGTAGTTCCGTATATTAAGGACATGGGCGAGAACGCGACTGATACCATTGCATTAATTAAAATGGGGTTATAATCGAAAGGGCTACAAAAGGAAAATCTTTTAATAAGTACAGGAATAATTTACTTACATTTCATCCCGTGGCAAATTCAATGTTATTATATCTTCCACTTGTTTCCCGTATCTCAAATAGCCGACTAACCCAATAGTGCCATATAGAGCCGCCACTAAAACCATTGTCATATTCAACACTCCTGGACATCCCAGGAACTTCTCCGGATCAGCCATCTCGTTCTCTATTGGCATTACAACGTTGATGCCTTCCATGGCAAAGATTGCTGTGCTATTGACAAAAGAAAACAATTTACAACTGATTCATTTGCAATGAATTAATTAAAATTAATTTATGAAGCGTATTTGAGTAACATTTCCGAACAGTTGATTAAAGTTCTATATAATTTGTAAAACCGCACTATTACAGCATTTCTTTGATCAGGCTTGTTTGACAGAATATAAATTTGATGTTAATCAAAATTAATGATTAATAAAACCTTATCTTCAGGAATGATATATGCTGTACCGATATTAAATTAACCGATCATAAAATTTCATCATGAAGTGAAGGCAATCATGTGATAATTTTGCAGGTGTCATCCTAATAAATCGCAGGATTCTCTCTAAGGCTATTAAGAGCAGACTTGAGTCATGACAGTTTTAAGATAAACTATTACTATGTAAAAATAAAAAAATGTGATCTAGTTCACAAAAATAATTAAATTGGATTATTAGTTCTAAAAAACTCCCGAGTATAGTTAATATATACAATTTTACGTACTCTATATAACATAAAAGAAAACAATCGATAGCGTATTTTGTATTACCATGTATTATTATCGGCCGGTTTCTGAATCGAGAAAAGTTCAAAATCTCAACTGATTACTCTCAAGAACTTGAGTTTTTTCAATCAATTTATCGTTAAAAAATTCAAATCAGAAATGAAAACCTGTTAAAATGACATTTAATTTAGAATCCCAGTTATTTCTTCGTTGAGATAAACCTACCTACGTAGTTTCATTTGTTCATTTTAACGAGAGATGTAATATCGTAGCTTTTACGGTTATCTTTGATGTCTATAATCAGCTTAATGATGACATTATACTAATAGTACCCTAATAGTTAGCGTTAAATACGAATAACATTGAAGATTTTATTCTCTGCATTATTTATGGGGGCGCACGGCCAGATGACGCGAAATGGGCTGCTATAATAAGACGACAGGGCTTAGCCTACTTAATTAAGAACAAGAAAAGCCGTAACGTAATTTTTTAGACAAACACTGCAGAATAATACGAATTTGCTAATTAAATTGTCTCAAACAAAGTTGATGAAGAAAAAGATGTCATTTATCAACTGAAAATAATGTTCTCAGTAATCTTACTAATTAGTACTAATGGAAATTTTCTTCCGCAAATATAGTAAGAGTAATGCGTTCCTATTTTTTAATTAACAAAAAGGAGTCTTCAGAGTAGCGGGTGTTTTTCAATTCGACTGTTTGTCTTTAGAGTTCCGTACCAAAGGGTAAATACTACTAAGACTCTGATGTCCGTCTGTCTGTTATCAGGAAATCTCATGAACCGTAACAGCTAGACAGTTGAAATATTGACAGAGGATGTATTTCTGTTGCCGCTTTATCGACAAATAATAAAAACAGGTTAAACTAAGTGGGGCTTCCATACAATAAAAGATTTTTTGCACTTTCAATGGATGAATGAATGAAAAATTCTTTATTGTACACCAATGGACAAAAAACAAATATATGGATACAATAAATGTGAATGCACAATTGGCGGCCTTATTACCAAAAAGTAATTTCTTCCAGGCAATCTTATGAACTGAACGAAAATTATATCTAAATTAGATAAGATTAGGGTAGCTTATGGTGTCTCAAACTTTATCATGATATCATATCTCTACATATATTTAATTAATAAATGGAGTACATAAATACTATAAATTCTATAATTCTATACTACATATATTTATATATAACATACATATAAGTCCTTAGTGGATGACAGATAAGAATCAGACGGGATTCAGAGTGAGTGACAGATAATGTTCTTTGACTAGTTCTTTAAAAACGTGTATGCTTTGAGCACGCCTAATATTTTCTGGCAATATATACCAAAAACTTTCAGCTTGGATTGTAAATGATTTATCAATAAATTTACTGGCATGCATCGGTATTGACAATTTCAAGTTCTCTGATGACCTCAAAATTCTAGTGTGTGTATTATGAAGGAATTTACTTTTTCATAGATAATAATACGAAATCCTTCGAACTCGAGTCCGACGCGCGCTTGGCAGCTTTTTATATTTCGCTGCTTATAAACAAAAGGGCCACAAAACAAAATATTCCAAAAACACTTTTATTTAAAAAAATGGGGCAAGAATAACCAATATTTTCTTATTTCCCAAAAATACCAATCAAAATTGATCTCTTAGTTACAAAATTACATATGCGTAAAAGGGCTTTTTTCAAATCGGCATTCAGTTTTGGTGTACGTTTGGATTGTGCTAAAGGGCCGCATTTGGAAATGCGTCCGTTTCGATTATAATATATTAGATAACCGTGTTCGACGATTAGAAATGCGTTACGCATACCCGCTTCACCCTGCGCGAGCTCCACGGGTTATGCGGACCAACCCCTAGAGTGGGGGCTGGTCATAAAGCAGGGGTCTACCCACTAAAAGTCAGCGATGTCCCTCACTGCGGGGGAACGACTCGCGGTAACGGTCCCCAACGGGACCACTTCCAGCGCAACCGTAATCTACAATAACTTTGATGCTCAGTCAGCCAGCGTCGATTCCTACCTACCGGTGCATGATTTTCTTCTATTTATACAAATCTTTAACATATATCTCGTAAAGGAAATTCAAAGCTATGATATTATCACCATATTATTTGTACTGCCTAGTATAAATGTGAATATTATAGAGAAGAACATGAGCCGTGTGGATACTACAGAATTTTTGTGGGTTACACTAGATTCTCAATTTAAGTATGGTATACATAAATTTAGAATCTAGTGTATCTCCATATAATCTCTATATACATAAATTGTGGAACAGACTGAACTCTGCAATATGTTGTAATGAAGATACGCAGGTTAACTGAAATAGATACTGCAGCTACTATCGTAGTGTAATGTCGTATGAAATTTGGTTGTGGGGAAATTCTGCCGATTTACAAACGGTTTTTGTGATTCAGAAGAGAGCTATTACATTAATTTACAATAGAGAAACTAAGCAAAACTTAAAAATAATGATAAACCTAATACATGTATCTTTATTGAAATCAAAGAAGCAATTGGATGCCTAACAAATGGGGCCTGTTTGTTCCGATAAATGTAAGTATTAAAAACAAAACTAACTAAAAACAAAAAAAACTAAGAGTTCCAGATACAAAAACACAGGGTATTCTTAAATTAAGATTATTAAGAAACTTTTTATACGGAATTATAAATATTTATAGCTTTTAAGCTAACTTTACAATACTCGTATAAGACTGAATTTATTTTTTTTTATAAAAAAGGGCATGTGCATATAAAAAGCATATTTTAAGGTTTTTTACTAAAAAACAATATCATAATGAGAAACTTGTGACCTTTATTCAAAATATTATATTACTCGTGAAAAACTTATTTGCTCCTAACAATCTTAGAGTTATAGTTATCAGAAAGTTAAAATAAACAAGAGATACGAAAAAATGTATGCAAATGAATATACTGTTTTTTTTAAAGAAGTAAACTGGTGTTTGTTAAGTGGTTTCATTTAATTTTGATTGAGATCAGATTACTATTTGGGTTTTTAAATCAAAATAATTGAAAAATGTTTTAAATAGACATAACTCCATATTTCGATGATGATGCCCTCCACGAAGATTGATAATTATTTTTTTTAAACTCCAAAAATATGCTTAAACCATGCATGGCCAATAAATCCTCATATGACACTTCTTTATATTTTTTATCACAATAAAGAATAACTTTTTAGAGTCTGTTTGAGTCCTATTAATAAACAAGAGTCAAAGTAAATTTACGCTAAAATTGCAATTTTAGTATTAGCCCAAATTTATATTATACAGAGAATAAGCAAACTTTAAAACATTTGTTAAAAATATTTCTTTCAGCTTTTTGAGTCGTTTGCGTGAAACTGATGAAAATACTCACGCTCACTAGTAGCGAAAAGTAACATGTGCTAGAAAAAATATTCAGCTCTGTTAGGTCTCGGGTAGCTCAATGGTTAGAGCATTCGCTCACATTGTGAAGGTTTGTGTGTTCCGTCTTGGTGTACCGAGGGCCTAATAGGGTTAGGGATGAGGGTTGGCGAGATTTTATGCTTTATTCATTGAAGATAAATGTATGCTGTAAAATATGTAATATTTTAAGGTGACTGAATTATGACAAAAGTTTAAGAAAAGAGATACATTTCTTTTATTGCTTTTGATAATATAATTAAAAGAGTTCGTAATTTTGTAGAAATGATGTATTTTAAAGAATTTCATTACATCTTATCAAAAGTACAATCTTTGAAATTCAATCCTTGTAAATCTAAATGTTCTTAATTCATTAATTTAAAACGGTCATTAGGATACTTTATGTATTAATAAATTACTTTGACAAATTCCGACAGTTAAAAGCTACGCCCACGCCCTGATTGCGGATTGTTTAAATTGATGCGCTTTACCTTTAAGAGCTTTGGGTAGGAATTTATAAATCTTGATTTGCCCTTTAAAATAATGGATTTGATTCTCTTAAACAGTGATAAACTGTAGTATTGATTATTGATTGACATCATTAGAAAACACAGCAGCACGACAGTACCAGGCTACCAATTCTACTCTCAATGTATTAAAGTTTTAGTATCAAATGGACAAATTTGATAATTCCGTTTACTCCGAAGTATATTTACGTGTAAATATTAAGTATGAGTATTATAGAGCTCGAGTAGCTCGGTGGCGTAGTGGATAAGCGCCGCAGCCCGCGATCGTTGTCGCTAAGCATCTTTCGCAAGGGTCGGTCATGGGATGGGTGAACGAAAAATTATTATCTTGAGCTACTCCGTGCTTCGGAAGGTATGTTAAGCTGTTGGTCCCGGTTGCATTTGCAGTCGTTAATATCCTCCAATCCGCATTGGGCCAGCGTGGAGGGTCATGGCCCATCCTCCTTAACCATCCATAAGGAAGGCCTGAGCCCCTGCAATGGGGACGTAAAAGGGCTGATGATGATTACAGAGCTCGATTGGAGTGCGGGGGTTAAGTAATTGCTGGTCATAGGATGTGTGATCAAAAATGTATTATTCGAGCTAACTTTAAGCCGTCGGTTCCGATTGCACCTGTAGTCACAATGCGCTGGAATTGGTGGGTTAAATATGATTTAACAAATTCAAAACTTTAAAGAATATATAATTTAGTATCGAAAGTGACTTATGAATACTCACCTCAAAAATACGGGCCAATTGGTCACGCTCGTTGCCAATTCAGTATCAGTGCTTTGTCTGAGGTCCGAGAAGATGTAGTAGCAGGTGATTCCGAAGGTAGTCAACAGGCAAATGTTGGCGAAGAAAGAGAAGGGCTCTAAGAACTTGAGGTATCTAATCTGGGTGATCAGAATTAGTGGTAACAACAGCATCCAGCAGTACGTCGGTATACTATGCACGTTATCCGGATAGAAGCTTTTCAATATCTGAAATAAAAAATAAACTATAACTATTTTGTATTCATAATGTCGAAAGTGTACTTTTAATAAAACTTTATTGAAGAAATCGACTAGTCCAGCATGCGTACCATGGCTAAGTTGAGAAAGGGTACATATATAATACACATTTCTCGGGTCGAGAGTGCGATACCTAGTGTTGGCGTGAGAACGAAAATGTTATAAAATTTTCTAAAATATCTCCTTGTTAGATTCTATCACATAACCTTAATATAATGTCACTATCAATAGTAAACATAACTAAGAAAGTACATTCAACATGGACACTACCTTCTTATATTGTTACCGTCACGTCCTACGGCAGATAACTTTTTTGTTCTGTGGTTAAAAAAGACTCCTATTGTTAATAGACATAATAAGTTGATGAGAATTATGTCTCTCGATGTATACCAGACTCAAAGTCCAACCGTTACGCAATGAGATGAACGCTATCGAGATCAGGAGTTTTTGTGACTTGTCCTAAATTGGACACTGAATATCGGATTCGTCATTCAAGATTGGCTAACAACTTCCAATACTTTTTACTTTTTTCGTGTGCACATAATATGAACCCGAGTAAAGTGACATTTCGTGTAGTTTAATCTACACGGAATGTCACTTTATTCGTTTCTCGAGTTAGTGATTCTGCGCGTGCAGGTGGGAATAGATATTGTGATTCTTTATATAGAATAGGTATTGTTTTTATGTATAGTATTTGATGCGAGAAAAGCAACGGATTTCAGTTAGCATACTAATGAAAAAATTGTGAAATTAAGAAACCAAATTTCGAAGCTTCAATTAACAAATTACGCTCCTCAAAACATTTTTATACGTAGGAAAATTTAGATTGTCTTCAGTTATTGAATGCCTACTCAACTAAGGATCAATCCAATAAGTTTCAATTCCTATTTTTTGTCACGCACATGTTCTTGTGTTGCTTGATATTAAATTCAAGAATTCTGTCGTTTTAAGTACAAAATATGTGGCAATTGAAAATATAATTATTTCATAATTGGTTAGTTATAAAAACAAATTAAATTATTTAATTTAGTTGTTGTTTCTGGTGTCACGTCTATGGATATACATCTGTATACCTAATTGACGAGCTTAACGGGATTAAAACAAAATACCGTTTAGATGATAAGTGAATACTGGAAATTATCACCATTACATATCCATTTGAGCATAAGTCCTCTATTGTTTATTTGTTAATGTTTAAGTTGAATAGAGGTTGCTGTTGCTTGAGTATAGATTGTAAATGTTTAACATACATAATAGGAAATCCCGGTCTTATGTAAGTAGCACATAGAAATGCGTCCTATTTTTTAATATACACGTACCCTTTGTTCGGCTTGTCTGTCTATAATCTCGTGTCTATAGTCCTCTTTATTACTATGGAGGAGGTGATAAAACCTCGTGACTTGCATGTAATAGCCTCCCAGTGAGCTAGGAGCGCGATGGCGTAGTGGACAATGGCTGATCATATTGGATAGGTGACCAAACTTGTATGATCTCTAGCATCTTCGTGCTTCAAAAGGTATGCAAACCATTGCTCCCGGCTGCATCTATGGTCGCTAACATCTACCAATCCATATTGGGCCAGCGTTCACATGTTAAGGGGGATACTACCTCGTATATAACAGAGCTATTGCTGCGCAAGAATATATTAGAATGAGTACTATAATCATTAATAATTTCCTTTTTTTTAAATAACCGACTTCAACCTTAAAAAAATATACTTATCGAAGTGGTTTAATTATACAAGAAAATGATTTCTGTAGGTTATTAATAAGTAATAATAAATAAATAAAATAACCGATACCTATTATCTAAGTTATTCGGTAAAATGCATAAAACCTAAAATACGTTTGACATATAAAAAGCGACAAAAAAAGCGATGAAAAATACTTCAAACAAAAAGAAGATACGATAAACATTGAAAAGGGTTCGATGGCTCGGACATGCGTAGGGATTAGATGAAAGAAATATTACGAAAGGAATGTGGGAGGTCGCTTCTTCGCCGCCAGCGCCCCCACATACATTTTACCAATCTTTAGATAAATGTAATTAGTAAATATATAAAGGTATGTAGCTCTCGCAAGATTTTCTACTATGCTATCCTATCCTTGACCCGAAGGAATTGTCCATTCAGATTATTATGAACAATGAATAGACAATGCGATCTATTCTATGCTAATGCTCAAAACAGCAAAAAGTTTTAAACATTCAGTTTTCAGCAAAAAAAAAATGTTATAATAAATGCCAGTTGTCGACCGCAATGTTGTGCTCATGGACATACGAATCTCGGGATAATTTTCAAAAAGTGTAGTGCTTTTCCACGGTACAAAAGTGAGCTTTAGGAAAAAAATCACGTTCTGAATTCCAGTAGTTTGCGGTTTTTGGCTTTGAGCTGGTATGTCAGTCACGTTTAACTTTTTATATTAAAAATGTTTTCTACAAGATAAAAAGAACACTTTTACTCGGAACTGCGTACATCTAAGTTCTGTAATCATTACCTTAAGAGACATTTTTTATGAGGTAAAGATATTATTTGTAATAATTCAAGCTCGAATTCAGATGCTTAGATCCTAAATTAATTAGCTTTTACATTTGTATAGAGAAAATTCAAAATAACAAAAGTGCTGCTACACCTTGACGATGTTAATATTCATAAAAATGGGTCAAAGAAACATCAAAACAAATCCTAATCTTTATTATTACCCACCGTTGTTTTCCATTTATAGACCCTTAATATATAACAAACTAAATAAATTTACTAAGATAAATCCTCTTCATAAAGTACAGTAAAAATAAATATATTTTTAATTGGATCCAACGGTTATCGTACAGCGAAACAGAAAAACTATTAGAGATAGCGTGTTAATCAAAGAATTCTATGAATCCTATTAGGTACTAGTTATACTACACACCCTCTCACACACACTCGCAATCATCTTACTCAGAGAGGACATACAGGTATCAACCAAGTTCAGCAATAGATGATAAATAGATATTAATAAAAAAATATATATGTTATAAGAATCATATTATAAGACTACATAGTCAATAAATATTTTTTTTTATTATTAGGTTTGAATGCTCATATGTATAAAATATATAATGTAGACGTTTGTTATAATTGTTGTGTATAATTTATTCAAAATTATACACAACAATTATACACCAAAATTATATTGTTATTATTTATAAGAGCTATTATTGAGTCATAATTTCAGATTGATGAAATATATGCATCAGACGTTAGGTAAACCTATGTAGGCGAGGGGCTCGTACGCCGGTTTCAAGTCCAATCCTGAGGTCCCGCGTTCTATTCCCTCCCGGTCGGGTCAATAAAGAAAATTCAACTTTCCCACATTGTCTCGGCTATGAGCGATGTTGTACCTCTGTTATCACAGATATCTATAATACAAGAATTTCGGCTACTAAATTTGGGATCTGCCTGAGCAACGCGTGACGTTATCTATTTATTAATATCCATATATATCTGAAAATCAATTGCTGCTTTATTGCGTAATCACGCGGGGTTTGGAATAAGGAGACTTGCTGTCCTAGTCAATCCGGTGTGATGCTAACCGTTTACTTTAGTGCCATCGTCAGCTATCATATCTGAGTAAATTATTTAAATTTTTTATTTGTTCTTGCAAATTTAGTTTATTTGATAATAATAGTATAGTATCGTAAATATTACATAATAATTTTAATTAAATTGAATTAAGCTTTGTTATTATGCTGAAATCCAACATTGATCCACATAACATAGCACAGGTGGGAGTTAACTGAGTTCTGGTGTTTATAAGGATTCGTATTTATGTAGCTTCATACATAACAGGGAGCCCTGACGTCGCTACTGCCACTACCTTATACTCAATCCTCGCTACATATTTTTCTCACTACCTCACGGTGACGGTATGTAAATAACCTAGCGCCAATGGAAGGATAATATAATATAGGTTTATGGGTAAAACCTCTCAGAATACCTGCATTGCAAAACTTTGGTTGCAAAGCACATTTAGACCACATTGTTCCTTTATATTGCTTAATCCTGAGACCTAACATAAGCGGTATAAAGTAGAATAATACCTACTTTATATCGCTTATTTTAGATCTCCTATCTATTATGTCGATTAATAGAGTTAAAGGCACTATTGATATTCATCAGAACAAAAAGTTTATGTTTAAAATTGTGACAGTTTTGAGTTAAAACTGAGTTTTGGTACACGAACAATTCTTTATTTTTTCGTTCCATTTCAGAATTTTGTGAATTATTTTAAGTCTTTGTGAAATGTGGTATCTAAAATCGTTCGTATACGGATAGTATCGAGTATATTTCAAACAAACAATTGATGTTCATCAAACTACGAATTGGAATAAAAAAAAGAGTTTATTCAATAATTTTCTAACTACAATATTAATATTATAAATGTGAAAGTTTCTTTGTTTGGATGTTTAGATGTTTGGATGTTTGGATGTTTGTACGTCAATCACGCCGAAACTAATGAACGGATTTTGATGAAATTGGGTATACAGATAGAGTATTACCTGACTTAGATAATAGGATACTTTTTATCCCACCAAAAGGTTCCCTAGGGATAAAAGTACTTCCAACGGCGCCTATTTTTGTGAACGCTGCCTAAACGGTATGAGATATACTAATGCTTTCTAAAGAAAAGTTGGAGAGCCTTAAATTATCTATAAAAAAGTCCGCGATGTCATATATCTATATGCAAGGGTTTTGCCACAAAAATAAAAAGAACTTTATATAAGTCTATTTAAATTTTTCGTCCGTCTTTAAACGTTTATTTGAGTAGGTGATATTAAATCCTTATCGAAATAAATATGTTTATCGTCGAAGAAATTTAATATACATGAAAATTGTCTTTTACACCATGTAGATTGGATAAGTAGTTTAGATTTTAATACGATGTTTTTGAGAAAATAAAACAACGTATATTGCCGATTTTCTAAACACT